GATTCCCCCCTGCGCTTTAAGTGAGTTCAATTGAAATCCCTCAATTTTTTTTTACAAATTGAAGTTGTTTTATGTGGTTTACAATTCAAAATTTTTTAGAGATTGAAGTTGTTTTATGTGTTTTTTTACAAAATATTTAAAAATGTTTCAAATTTTTTACAAATTTCTTACAAATTGTTTTACAAATTTTTTGTTGATGGGGATGAGGTTCGATATGATGATGAATTTTTGTGTTTATATAATGTGTTTTGTGTTATGAAACTTAGTGTTTATATAATATGTTGTGCATGTAATGGAACTTTGTGTTTATTGGACCATGTTGTGTGTTAGAGAACTTTGTGTTTATATAATATGCTTTGTGTGACTATGTATGTTATGTTGTGATGTGTGAATTTTGTTTAATTGTATGTTTGATAAAATAAATAAGTATTATTTTTAACAAATTAATCATAGCTGTGTAAAGAATTTTGATTCCCCTGTTTTGAACAAAACACGGACATAGGGAATTCTATTCCCTTTCCTGTACTAGACCAAACAGACAGAGTAATTCAGGGGTAATCATTCCCTTCCCCCTGATTCCCTTTCCTTTCCCTTTCCTTAGCATGAACCAAACGCCCCCTGAATGCATCTTGATTCCTAGAGTTGCTTGGGATAGTGGGATTCGTAATAAGAAAAGACAACTCTAACCCTGTGTTTATACTCCGTATATGGTTCGTTTGTCATCCTAGGTATATGGTACAACTGGACCTACATAGAGATAGGTACATCCGGTGAGTACTCATTTCAAAATATAGAGTAGTACTCATTCTCGCACAAATATTACTATTCATTTTGAAAAAAAGTGTGATACTCATTCTAAAATAACGTAGCACTCATTCAAAATAATGTAGTACTCATTTTCACACATTTATTCAATTCAATTCTAATATTTATCCACAAATAACATAGTGTTCATTCGAAATAAACATAGTACCCATTCTCAAATAACTTAATGCTCATTTTCAAATAAAATAAAACACATACCATAAATAACCTTTTCTCTGAAACTATGGTTTTCATCCCCGCCTCTCCTCCCGTCTACCGTGACTTTCTTTCTTGGTCTAGGAGACCCTACCCGCAACCTCAATCTCTAACGCCGCCGCCACCTTCGGTGCTCCTTAGGTCTTCCTTCTCCATTGTTTTTGTCAGATTTTCGCCACCATCGCTCTTCGTCATCTTCGCTGCTCCATCGTCTTTCGTCTTTGATGGCCCGACCTGGCAAATAGAGGAGCGGTAGAAATTTCGGCGGCTTCCGTTTCATCTTCTTCCTTCCTCAATCAGCCGGTTATATCGAAAATTCGATACAATCGGATGTACGATATAATTTGCGGTTTGTCATCAGGGTTAGAGATTAAGGTTAGTATTTTGAAAGAGTTTAATCTATATCATTAAAAGTCTATCCAAAACTCTAACATTAAACGAAAACATTATCTCCAAAGAGCTAAGGGCCTGATTGGGAATAGCTTTAGCTATTAACGTTAGCATTTTGAAAAGGCTATCTACATGCAGCGTTTAGCGTTAGCGTTTTCAAAGTAATATGCACCGTTAAAATTTTATCTAAAACGCTACAGCTAATCTCTAACGTTATTCGCAAACTTGCCCTAAGACTTTGTCACAAGTTTGCATAAGAAGCCTCTTCACGGAAAAAGACCTTGAAGACAAATGCGGGTACTTTATAAGATTTCCCTAAAAAAAGGTTTCTCTTATAAAAATGTAAAAAAAAGGTTTGATATTATGAGACTACCCTGTATCTACCCTCACTTAAAAGCACGAAAAATTACCATGTGAGATTCCCAAATTACCCCTACTTCGAAAGTTATTGTCGAAAGAATCTGATTATGTTCCACAGCCGTCTAATGATTTCCCCCCTTTTTTGACCTGACCCGAATTCAACTATTTCAGTTTTCCCATCCAGCTCCTCAATCTGACGCACACTACACATTTTCTCTGCAAATCGGCAACGTAATTGACAACAGAGCAAAACGATAAGATTGAGGAACGTGTTTAGAAGCTATTGCGTAGCATAGAAGGAGGAAAAAGAGTAGAAAGAGTTTACAGTAAACCCTAATTTTCGATACCCCCAAATTTGATTACAAACCCTAATTTTTGTTTACATTAAAGAGTTACGGAGGAGTAATTTTTCACAAAAAACTCTAATTGAGCCAATTGTGTTATGATTCTACATATCTTATGGTAAACCCTACATATCTAAGATAGAAATAAACCCTCCTCCGTAATAAACCCTACTCGAACATAGTCTGCAAAAACGTTTTGATATCCATACAAACATTTAGGGAATATTCAGATATGATTATGATGTTTTTGAATATTCGACGTTATTTTGATTGGTCTCGACTATTCGACGTTTTTTCGACGAATTTTGGATACCCTTAAATGTGATATTTTATCTTGTTTATATGTTGTTTATGTTGTTTCAATTGCAGATGGGTACAGATCCTTTGATATTATATGTTGTTTATGGTGAAAAGTGGACCACATATCACGAAGGGGATTATGTTTACAGTGGATCCGGTAAGAACATAACTTTGTTGTTTTGGGATGTGGCTAATTTGGACTTTGATGCCTTTTTGAAAGCCATTATTCAAAAGCTTTGTTGCGATATGAAAACTCAAAGGCCAAAAATTACATTTCAAATTCAACAGCTTGAAAAAAATATACCACCCTTTTCCATCGATTCAAGTGAAACAGTACATGTATTTCTTTTGGAATTAAAGAAAAATTTTACAGCCTTGCATGTTGAGATGGTTCCAGTTGAACGTGAAGAAAAAGAACAAGAAGAGCAAATAAAAGAAGTCCAAGAAGAACTTTTGGAATTGCAATCAGCAATTGACCCCTTCATTCCCCTGATTGATTGCATTCAAGATGACTTCTTCAATTGCATGATTGTAGCTGATCAAGAATCTGGGCGTGATCATGAAGGTATTGTTTTTCAGGAAAATATAGGGAGGTGTGATCAAAATTCTCAATTCGTTGAGTCTAATGCCACTCCTGTGAAGAGCCCATCAACTGCTCAAGTGGATGAAGAGGATTATATGGGTGATGATAATGATGACTATAAAGAGGACGAGTGCTTTATTCGGAGGCATGATCCTTCTTTTGATACGTCTTTTGGTAATGAGGTAGACGCGACATTGGATGGTGGCTTTGAAGATGGATCAGATTTGGCCATCGGACTTGAGTTTTCTGACAAAAGAGAGTTGAAGAAGAAGATGGCTGATGTTTCCATACAAGGACATTTTGAAACAAAGACTGTGAAGAGCGACAAGAAGAGGTATGTGTTGAAATGCAAGAGTGACAAATGCTCTTGGATGATGATGGCATCCATCGTTAAAAACACATCTCGATTCTCTATTAAAAAATACAACGGGAAACATATTTGTACAATTGGTGACCGTAGCCAAACACACAGCCAAACAACTTTGAGATATGTGTCAGAATTAATTTTAGAGAGTTTTAATGGTACGGATGATTTAATTAGGCCCAAAAACATCATGACTTTCATGAAAAATAAGAGCATGCCAATAACATATGCAAAAGCTTGGTGGAGAAGTTCGCAAATGAAGCCATGTTTTGGATGCCCGAGACTAGTTTTAAAAAACTTCTATTATACTTGCACATGTTGAAGAAAGCAAATAATGATCTTGTAACAACCCACCTAGAACTTGATGAGGGGGGTGCTTTCAAGTATGTATTCATAGAATTTCATGCATGTATTCTGGATTTCAAGCAATGAGGTGTGTCATCGCCGTTGACGGAACATTTCTTAAGACATCTTATAAGGGTGTTTTACTCATTGCAACGGCTCAAGATGGTGACTTTCAACAATATCCCCTTGCATGGGCTATTGTGAACTCTGAAAACAACGACTCACACTCTTGATTTTTTGGCCATTTAAGGAAGTTAATTCATGATTCTGGAGACTCAGGGTTCATTTCGGATAGACACATTAGCATTCTAAATGGGATAAGAAAGAACTATTCGGCTGCGGATCATGGATTGTGTAGATATCACATCACTTGTAATTTGAGGAAGCATTTTCCAAACATGTGCAAAAAGAGGTTGGATAAACTTTTTGAGGACCTTGCAAATGCATACACCAAACAGTCATTTAAGAGATTGTATGGTGACTTGAAAGCAAGGTACCCAACTACTGGCAATTACATTGACAAGATCCCAAAGAAAAGATGGGCTAGGGCGTATTTTGAAATAAACCGGTACCAAATCATGACGAAAAATGGTGCCGAATCAATCAATAGTGTGTTGAGGGACGACAGGAAACTTCCTAATGTTGCACTTTTAAAAGTAGTCCAGAACATGACTTCAAGGTGGCGTGGAAAAAGGCAACAAGAGTTAAGGTCTCTCGAAGAGTCAAATCCCCTGTTACCCTAGCTGTTGAAGCTTAAATGCGCAAGAGATTTAACAAAACCTTGCGCTTGGAGTGTCATCAGTTGAATCAATACGAGTTTGAAGTCAAGGGAGTGCAGTGTGACCATGTCGTTCACCTTTCAAATAAAACTTGCACCTGCCAAGTGTTTGACAATGATAAGATACCTTGAGTGCATGCACTCGCTTGTTCAGAACGCACATGCATAGATAGTTATAGCCTATGTAGATGATTGGGATGCCAATGGAATGGAGCTCATATAAGTCAAACCCCCTATATTGTACAAGCAAAGAGGAAGGCTAACAACGAAGAGATTTCCACCGGACGGCGAGGCACGAAAAAAATATAAATTGACATGTTTTGGTTGCCAAGGAAAAGGGCATACAGTACGAACATGCGCAAAGAGACCTCGTAAAGACACATCTACGACGAATGACTTGAATAATACTAATCGCATTTAATTGTATTCGAAGAAAGGTCGAAATACTTTCTATGTGATCGAAATAAATTCGAATTACAGTCAAAAAGCTAATTATGATAGTTGAGTATTTCGAATAAGGATAATTCTAATGCAGTCAAATTTATCAAAATGATTGTGTCAAATATTGGTAATTTTAAAATATATAGAAAATATCAAAAATGCATGTTTCATGGTTTTAATTTCAAAATATGACTGTTGTTTTGGGTCATTTTGAAATATAAAAATATGACTGTTTTTAGATATAAAAATATGATTCTTTTATATATAAAAATATAAATTTTTTTATTATACCTTTTTTATATTTTAATTTTATTTTAGTGTTTTCCCACATAACTGAACATGTATTTTTCATAAAGCGAACTTCGTAGATATGTACGTATTTAAACAAGCTAATTCTTATTTTAACATATATGGTTTGAATGCATTTTGGAGTATATCAATGCATTTAGGTAGGTATATGAGTAGGTGGGGAAATACAAATATGGTTTGAATACATTTAGGAGGGTTTGAATGCATTTAGGCCGGTATATGAGTAGTTAGGGAAATACAAATATGGTTTGAATGAATTTAGGAGGGGTTGAATGCATTTAGGACGGTAGATGAGTAGTTGGGGGAATACAAATATGGTTTGAATGGATTTAGGACGATGGCCCACATGCATTTAATATAACTCCTGCGGTTATGCATATTTATATATCAGAATTTCGTTTTTACTAGTGCAATTGCTTATTTTTATTCACAAAAACTCCTCTTAAAATTCCAAAAACTTTTTTCATATATCTGGAGGAAGAGGATAATGACAGGCATGACCGGAACTATGAACTGGTAAGTTATATTTCCTAGTGCAATTACTTATTTTTTAATTCTTTATCAATTAAGAGAATTCCAATACAACCACCGTATCCCGGATTTGGCTGTGAGGTATTTGTGCGACTTGAACGAATTGGTAGTGTACTCTGGCCCAGAAAAAAAGAAGTTCATTGTTCAACTAGAACGCCGGTAGGAGGGAACGTTTATGGTGAAAAGTGGTTGGCATGAAGTAGCAGATTTTTATCAACTATTGCCCGAGTTGATCTTGCATTTCAAATATTACTGAGAAAACGTATTTTTCCTTACTGCGTATAGGGATGGTGTGGAGTGGCCACCATTTAATGATTTCTAATAAAAAAAAGTTCTTGAAAAGGTCTATTTGGGAAGGGTCGAAACCTTTTCGAATTATTTCGAAATTCTTTTTAGTAGTCGAAACTCTATTGATAGCCCACGTGTAGGACCTCAGGCGCTACCAACTCTTCTAAAACCAATTAGTGTTAGAAGAGGCGTATAACTTAGCCTTACAGTGCATTCAGCACACAAGCGCCCACAACATTCGATTGTGACATGGCCCACATAGCCTCCGCCACGGGACAATTGCTGCACACATGGCCAACAATCTCCCCCTCAGCAATTGCTCATGCTGGGAATTGAACATGTGACCTTGGCTCTGATACCACTTGTATGGCCTCAGGCGCTACCAACTCTTCTAAAACCAATCACGTCAGTCTCGTTCTTGAGTGTATTTGTGTTCTAAGACACGTTGAGAGAAAGTATTTCTCTCGTTTGATTCGAAGGAAGGTTGTTTCCTTCGAAGGATTCGTTGAGGTTCGTGTGACTCGAACTCTCAAGTTGTAAGGGTCTGTTAAGCACCGTTAAGCTTAACGAGAGAGTCTCTCGGGAGGCTGGATTAGCCACAAGTTGTGGTGAACCAAGGTAAATGCGGTGTGCCTCTTACTCTTCTATTTACGTCTATTTTAAATTTTTAATTCCTGCGATTTCTACGATCAAACACTATTCACCCCCCCTCTAGCGTTGGTCTATTATTCTAACAATTGGTATCGAAGCCTAACTCGCGTCCAAACTTAACCGTTTGAGAGTAAAGCGATCATGGGTTCTTCTTCTAGAAATCTTTATGCAGGGATTGGAGAAGGTCAATCAACCTCTAGGCCACCACTATTTGATGGCACTAACTACACATATTGGAAATAGCGGATGAGAATTTATATCCGCTCAACCAACTTCCAGTTGTGGTTGTTCATCAAGAATGGCGAAGAAACGCCAATGAAGAAGGTTAGTGAAAAACTCGTCCCAAAGACAGAAGATGAATTTGATGCCGAAGACATCAAAAAGATCGAGAACTATGCCAAGGCAATCAACATGCTGTACTGCGCGGTCAACCCCGATGATTATCGTAAGATCTCTTGCTGCGCCACCACCAAAGAAATGTGGGACAAGCTGGAGGTCACATCCCATGGTACAGACCAAGTTCGAGAAGCCAAAATGGACTTCCTAACGTAGGAGTACGAGATGTTTAGGACGAAGAAAGGCGAAAAGATAGATGACATGTTCAATCAGTTCTCCAAGATCATCAACGACCTTGATGCCCTCAAGAAGACTTACGCGAACAAGGATCTTGTGAGAAAAATCCTGCGGAGTCTCACACCCGAATGAAGATCAAAGGCCGATGCAATCTATGAATCCATCTGAGTCTCCAACGTCACCATCGACAGGTTAAGAGGTAACCTCAAAACTTATTAATCTACTATTCTAACCCCGTCTTTGGATGAACAAAACATGAAAGGAATAGCGCTCAAAGCAGCCAAAAAGACGGTGGAAGAAGTCTCAAGCGATGATGACAACGAGTTTAGACTCGTCATAAAGAAATTCCACAAATTTATGATGAAGGAATTTGAGTGCAAAGGAAGAAAGCATGACAGTCCCCCGAAGTGCTATGGCTGTGGCGAGGTAGGCCACATCAAGACAAGGTGTCCAAAATGCAAAAATGGCAAGGACAAACCTGGCTTCAAAAAGCAAAGAGCCTATATCTCATGGGGTGGTGACTCCAGCGACGAGTCAACTGATCAAGAAGAGGATGAAGCCGCCAACCTCTGTCTCATGGCACACGAAGACCACGCCGACGAAGCACAAGAGGTATGTACCACTTCTTCCGACTCTTACACTTTTGAAGAGATGCAAGAAGAACTTCGTGAGCTTTACTATGAACCTTTTGAACAAATTGGTTTCACAAGACTTAGTAATTGGCATTCCAAAACTTAAGTTTGAAAAAGACACCATATGTGATGCATGTCAAAAGGAGAAGCAAGTTCGGGCTTCATTTAAGTCTAAGAACGTTGTTTCAACGTCTCGACCACTTCAACTTTTGCACATGGATCTCTTTGGTCCTTCTAGAACGAAAAGTTTTGGTGGTAACTACTTTGCGTTTGTGATTGTCGATGACTACTCCAGGTTTACATGGACCTTGTTTCTAACTTACAAAAGTGAGGCATTTCACGTTTTTAAAATATTTCTAAAGAAAGTTCAAAATGAAAAAGAAACAACCATAGTAGCCATAAGAAGCGACCATGGGCGAGAGTTCGAACGAAATATATTCTCAGATTTATGTGACGAACTCGGCATTGATCATAATTTCTCAACCCCACGTACACCAAAACAAAATGGAGTGGTGGAATGTAAAAATAGATGTCTCGAAGAGATGGCTAGAACTATGATCAATGAGGCAAAAATCCCTAAGTATTTTTGGGCGGATGCCGTGAGTACCGCGAGCTACGTATTAAACCGAGTTGTCATTCGACCGATACTCATGAAAACGCCTTATGAACTATAAAAAGGGAGAAAGCCAAACCTTTCCCATCTTCGAGTCTTTGGTTGCAAATGTTTTATTCATAACAATGGCAAAGATAACTTAGGCAAATTTGATGCCAAGTCGGATGAAGGAATTTTTCTGGGTTACTCACTTCGTAGAAAGGCATATAGAATCTTCAATAAACAATCCTTGACTATTGAGGAGTCCCCTCATGTTGTATTTTATGAAGATAACCCTCGCATAATATCATTGGCCGAGACTTCTCTCTGGCGACGTCCTGCTACAGTAGCCATCACCATAGCCATCAGCTTTGAGCGCTCATGTGTTGGTGTCTCCCCTCTTTGAGAGTAGATTCTGCTTCCTCATTCTTGGGTGAGCATATCTACCATTGATTTTGCCCTTTCGCACTCTAGGCTGAGAACGGTGCCCAATTCCTCTCTCGCCTTACTGTTCATTATCTTCATCAATGACTCTTGGCCGTCTTTTCTGATTCTCCCCTGCTGCTATGGGTTCCGGCAAAGCCCAGAGTGGTAAGAAGACTAAGAGGAAGGTTCCCAAAAGCCCCAGGAAGAAGATGCTACGAAGGTCTCCAGCTTCGCTACGGATATAGCTATCCAAGACCTTGAGAAAGAAAGGGCCCAGACTGCTTCTTCCTTGTCTGCAACGTCCCCTCCTTCTGTTGAAGTTGTCCCTGACCTCGCTCCTCAGGTAGATACAACTATTGTGCAGAACACCCCCCAGGTGCTTGACAAAATGCCTGAACCAGATAAGGCTGCTGCCAAACCTGTTACCTTTGCTGACCTCTTCAAAGGTAATAGGGACCCTGACCAAGGTATGGTTTTGAAGCATTATGATGTTGGTGAAGGCGTTCTTCATATTCCAGATTCTGTTATCAAGCCTATTGAGGAACTGTGGGGCTTTTGCCTAGTGGGGTGCTTCACTGGACGTTTTCCCGGTCTCAAGACTGTTGATGCCATTGTCAAGAGTTGGAATGTACCTTGTAGAATTATTCCCCATTGCAAGGGCTAGGTTATCCTTGAATTTGAAACTGATAGTGATAGAATGGAGATTCTAGGCAGGCAGAGGGATAAAGCCTATGGAAAGGAATTTAGGCTAAAAATTCCCTCTCATGGTTTCATGTTTGACTTTGCTGAGTTTACTACGCTTAGCTTCCTGTTTGGGTTCAACTTCATAATGTACCAATGCAATTATGGTCAGAAGAAGGCATTGGGATGTTGGCCTCAAAAGTTGGGAAACCCTTAAGGACTGACCTTGTCACCAAACAGCATGGCAAGGGTGGTTTTTGTAGAGTGCTTGTTGAGGTGGACTTCTCAAAACAACCTGTGACTCAATTTGAGGTTTTCTGCATGGGTAAATCGTACACACAAACAGTGGAGTTTGAAGAAGACCCAAAATACTGCTACCACTGCAAAACTTGGAACCATGGCCCCCTCCATTGTAGAGCCTTGGAGATGAAAGGGAAACAGGACCTTGCTGAGCTGGAGGCTAAACAGACTGAGGCTATGGCTAAACCAAAGGAGCACAATGGTCCTCCTGGGAATGCTGTCTCTAGGGAGTGGGTTCCAATAGGGAAGATTCATACTGAACCAAAGGGTGGGTTGATCCCCTCTTCTTCCAACCCTAAGGAGAAGGCTAAAGACCCTTGCCCTAACACTGGTCCTTTGGTTGATGATAGATTGGTTGGCAAGGGAACTGATTTCCAAAAGAAAAAGAGTAGGGATGATGGCAGTATGGGTGGGAAAAGACAAGAGAATAGAAAGGGTGGCAAGGGGCATGCCCCTCCTCCTCCATGAAGCTCTTTTGTTGGAATATTAGAGGACTCTCTAGGTCCTCTAAACAAAAGTTTTTGTGTAAATATCTTTTAGAACTTGGTCTCCATTTTGTGTGCCTTTTGGAGACCAAGATCACGGCAAGTAAGTTGGATATTTTTGTGAATACTAGACTGCCTGGGTGGAGTTATGCCACCAATTTTGATCTTATACCTGGCAGTTGTATGGTAATCCTGTGGAATCCCTCCCTTTTTACTTGTAATGTCCTGGATTTGGGTGAACATTACATTCACTGCGCAGTCCAATGCCTCACAACACAACATGATATGTTTTTTTTTCCTTTGTATATGGGCTATATACTGTTACCAAAAGGAGGGAGCTGTGGAACTACATGTCTTCTCTAGCGCAGAATATAACCAAACCTTGGGTCTTACTTGGTGAGTTCAACTGTGTTTTGGACTCTAATGAGAGGGTGAATTGTATGAGTCAAGGAGCCTATTATATGACTGACATGCAGTCCTTCATATGCTTGAACTGTCCTGAGGATACACCATCCAGTGGCAATTTTATCACCTGGAACAAAGGGAACAAACTTGCTAAACTTGATAGAGTTCTCATTAACCATTCCTGGGCTGATATTGGTTTAACCCCCAGCTGCGAGTTCATGGACTTTAATTTCCTATCTAACCATTGTCCCATCTTGTTTCAATATGGTTCTTCACTTGGCAACAAAGGCAAGCCCTTTAAATTGTTCAACAGGTGGCTTCAACATGAGGACTTTCCTGGGTTGGTGTGCCAATCTTGGGAGGCTGGAGTTACTGGTTCTAAACAGTACTCCTTGTGCTCCAAGCTCAAACGTCTCAAACCTCCTCTAAAGTTTCTCAACAGACGTGCTTTTGGCCACATTTCTAGAAGAGCTATGGAAGCAAAGGAAGATTACAGGTTGGTGATAAAGGAGGTGGTTCTGGACCCTAATAACCAAACTCTCCTTGATGAAGCTGAAGCTAAAAGGAAACGTGCTAACTTCCTCATGGATGCTGAACTGGCTTTCTATCAACAAAAAGCTAAATGTGACTTCATTATGAACTCTGATAGATGTACTAGCTATTTCCACTCTATTGTCAAGAAAAATAGGAAGAAAAATGTTGTGGGCTTCTTGGTTCGAGAAGATGGATCCAAAATCACTTCCATTGGTGAGGTGGCCAACATCTTTGTGGATTATTATACCACACTGTTTGGTACAAGTTCTCCTGTTGAACCTGTTGGTCCAGATATTTTGGCTGCTGGCAGTTCTGTTCCCATCTCTGCCCACTCAGCTCTCCTAGCTACTGTTACCCCTGAGGAAGTAAGGCAAGTTGTTTTTGACATTGGCAGTGATAAGGCCCCAGGCCCTGAGGGTTACACTGCTGCATTTTTCAAGAACCAATGGGTAGTTGTGGGTAGGGATGTTTATGATGCTGTCCTGGAATTCTTTAGCTCGGGCAAGCTCTTGAAATAGATTAACCATGCTTTGATTGTCCTTATCCCTAAAGCTCCCCACAACCCTACTGTCAAAGACTTTAGGCCTATAGCTTGCCTAAATGTGCTTTATAAAATCATCACCAAGATCCTTGATAAACGTATGGCTTGCCTCCTCCCTGATCTGATTGACCCAGCCCAGGGGGTGTTTCCTCTAGTCATGGAGTGTGTTTCCTCCGCCTCTTCTTCTATTATGGTCAATGGTGACAGCCATGGTTTCTTCCCCAGCGAACGAGGCTTGAGACAAGGAGACCCCATGGCCCCCACACTTTTCCTTTTCTGTATTGAGTACTTCTCCAGACTACTCAATAAAAAGGCTAAAGAGGGGCTGTTTAACTTCCACAAAGACTGTGCTAGCTTGGGCATCACGCACCTGACCTTTGCTAATGATCTCATGCTGTTTTCTAGAGGTGATCTCCAGTCTGTCCAAGTTTTTATGGATGCTTTGGACCATTTTTCTAGAGTATCTGGGCTGATCCTTAACCCCACTAAATCCAACATTTTCCTCGCTGGAAAATACAGGGACAGTAGCCATGATCTTTTGGCCCTTGCCTCCTTCCCTCGAGGTCAGCTTCCTGTTAGGTACTTGGGCCTCCCTTTGGCTTCTCAAAGGATCTCTTAGAATGACTTTGCGCCTCTCTTCAAAACTGTGGAAGGTTATCTTTCCAAATGGAGCACCTTAAAACTCTCTTATGCCGAAAGAATAGAACTGGTCAGGGCTGTCATACAGGGGGTACAGTCCTTCTGGCTTCAAGCTTTCCCGGTTCAAAAGTATGTGCTTGATCGCATCACCTCCCTCTGTAGAAACTTTCTCTGGGGCAGTAAGCTTGCAAAGGTGGCATGGGCAGATATTTGCAAGCCAAAGACTGAGGGGGGTTTGGGCCTGAAAGATGCTACAACTTGGAATAATGCATTCCTATGCAAACTCCTTTGGAATTTAGCAGCAAAGAAGGACTCCTTATGGGTTAAATGGGTTCATAATATCTACATTCGGGATGAGGACATCTGGAATTGGCAACCCAAAAAGAGGCATTCTCTCTTCCTCAAAAGGTTAGCCTACGTACATGACCTTTTGGCTCAGAAGCTTGCTGTTTGCAACCCAAATCTGGTAGTGGCTATGCAGCCCTTTTGTTTGGCAGGTAACCTTATTCCCGGGAAGGTTTATGAGTTGTTTAGGGCAAACGCCAACCACAAGCCTTGGATGGCTTTTATCTGGCAAAGCTTTATTCCTCGTAAGTGCTCATTTACGATGTGGCTTGCACTTAGGAGGAGGTTGCCCACTAAAACTAACCTGGACTTCCTCGGACTGCCCATGGACTGCACGTTTTGTGGCAACAAGTTGGACGATGTGGACCACCTTTTCTTTAGCTGCAAGGTTTCTAAAGACGTTTGGAGGGCTGTGAACATTTGGCTACAGATGGAAGGGCAGTTGAGCACCCTGAATAGAGCAATCAGATACTTAAAAGCTTTTAGAAGAGGGGATGTGATCCTCAAGAAGGCTAGAAGGATTGCTCTTGCTTGTAGGGTCTTTCATCTATGGAAGCTTCGTAATGCAGTTCACTTTGACCAAGAGCCTCTACGGGTTGATGCTGTTGTTTTCAAAATTAAGGTTATGGTCTATTCCATTTTGGGAAGAATGTGGCCCCTTTATGTTTTCCCCTATTGATGTACGATGTGCTTGTATGATGGCGTGTGTGCCTTGTTTCTTTTTGTAATTTGTTTGATGTAAGGCTTGGTTTTTGTTAGTTCTGTTGGGATTGGAACTTGTCTTTAAGCTCGGGTATGCCCGTTCTATTTGTATATTCTTATCCTTTCTTATTCTATTTACATTTTACCGTTGAAGATAACCCTCGCTTGGTGAGAAAGGATATTTGTGATGATCTTGCAGATTCGCTTGAAAGAATTCATGTTGAAGACGATGAAGAGAACGCGGGAATATAAACTAACACACAGCCGCAAATTGGGGAGACGCCTCAAGCGACCAACCAAGGTGAAGAAGAAAATCAAGAGGAAGAAGAAGAACAAGAGGAAAATGAAGAAGAAGCAACCGAGCTTCCCATTGCATGGAGAACGAACAAGAACCATCCGCATGACCAGGTAATTGGTAGCATCAACCGCGGGGTAAGTACTCGTTACTCACTTAGGGACACCGTAGGACACATGGCTTTTGTTTCTCAAATTGAACCTACAACCATTTCTAAAGCAATAAACGATGAACATTGGACCTTGGCTATGCAAGAGGAGCTAAACCAATTTGTTGGGAAAATTATTATAGATTTTGATGATAATGTATTTAGATTGTAATAGGGATGTTAGGTCTCCCCCAATATTCAATGCAATTTTTCTTTTTAGAAATATTGTTAAAACCGAGTTCTTGTGATTTCCAATAAAGTTGTGATATTTCACTCTGTGGCTTGATGTCAATCTTTGAAGACTTAGTCAAATTCTGTGATATGGAAATTGGATATCTTGATCGGAAATGTCAGAGACAAGTAAGGAATTCTCAAAGCAGTTGATTACTTTGAAGATCCTCTAATCCGGAACACTACATGATAACCGGATGTCTCGCTACAACCCGCTGAAGGCTAAGTCATCCGGATCGGAAGACTAGCGCGGAACTCTTTCTCACCTGGAAGTCTATGAATGACTTTTCCGAATTCGTCAGCAAAGAACCTGATGCCTCAAGGAAGACCGGAATTCTCAGAAGCAGACAAGTGAGAAAAAGACTTAGAAAATTATCTAAGTCTTGAATGAAGAAATTCTACCCGTTGGTAAGGAAAAATCAATCTCTTGATTTTCAACGGCTACATTGAGGATAATTAAGCTGATTCAAGAACAAATGACTTGAATACAAAGTCTGGACCTCTCAAATTGAAGAGCTCGCCTAGAATTCCTAAACAAGCACAAGAAGACAAACTGAGTACTCCACTCATTAAAGAGCTACAGTCCAGAATTCTTGAACAACAGCTAGAAGACGGATTCTGTGGAAAAAGGAATCCCTCCTCAAACAATTGGGTATGTCCAAACACCCATTCCAATGAAGAAACCTCAATCAAAATCTTCATTCAAAAATGAAGCCAACAAATGCAACGGATAGTCTATTTTGATTCAACAGATAGATTACCCAATCCAGCTTTAAATAGCATCCTTGGAAGACTGGAGAAACAGACGAGACACACGAGATAGAAAATTGAGAACTGATCCATCATCAACCTACAACAAAGCTATCTCATTCACAGCTAACCAAAAAGCTTGATAAAGAGAGATTTCTAAACTCCTTATCCAGAAGCAAACTTCTCCTCCTTCCAAAGAGCTATAGTGTAAACACTTGAAGGTTTCCTTGCCTCAAGTACCACACCATGTTGAAGGATACAACTTTTTAACCAAACTTCTTAATTAAAAAGGGGGTACATCAACTTTCTTATAAGTTGATCTTGCAAGTCCTATTGTTCGGATCTTGCAGTTGTTGAAGAAGCTTGACCTTCGATGGAACAACAAAGCCAGCACGAGTGCAGTAGCAATTGACGAAGCTGCTAGGTATAGCGGTAAGTCAATAAAATTAACCGAGACTAACTCGGGTCGTTTCACAAGGATTGGCAAAAGGAAGTATTTGTTAATTATCTTAAAATTTTACTTCAAACAATTAATTTAGAGCAATCAAGTTCAAAGCAATAACAGTAATATGATTAATCCAAACAATAATTTAGAAACAGGTATGAATCGAACAAGTATATGGGCTAAGATAATAATTTTAGATTAAATTAACTTCTTAATCAAATTGATTTTATATCATTAACTTATCCATTTTTCAGGCCTTATTAATGTGTCTAAATTGTTGGAGTTGTGCCCTGATGGCCAACTGTTTATCATTATTCTATCATCTATAGGCAGATATAATATGTTTACACATCTCATGCTAATGTAAACAAATATTATATTCCTAGATTTATATTTAAAGATGTTTATCAGATAGTGTTATTCTGCTGATGAGACTAACATCTTGAAATAAATATTTATCTGAATGTCCATAGTCGAGTATTAACGAGAGTGGGATATCGTTAATGCGTGTGAGACTAGTGTGTGTTGGATGTTTTGACTTAGTCTCATAGTCAATGACGGTGTGTTCGCATCCGCACATGGGCAGATATTATTTAGAGATAATAGGATGCCGGACTGACCCATCCTAAAGATGTTGCTTGAACTTTTAGTTCATGCTCTAAGCATCTTTAGCGCGACCACGGGTGTAACTATCCTTCGACTTGAAGTATTACGTTTTTTGCATATGTGAACCCGCATACTTTGATGCATCGTCCTAAGCCATATGAAATAAGGATGGTATACAGGCTTTGTTTTGGGTATGCCGCAGCGCGTATTCAGAAACGTAGATTACGTACATAGGATTTGTCACTACTCTTTTTAAAAGCGATTAATGTCTTATGGGGCCCACTGATTCGTCATGAATGAGGAAATTGCATGGCCATGCTGAGATGTTTTTATGACGTCTGTTCCTATTAGTCAGACTTGATAAATCAGTGAATGACTTAATGGATACAAGCTGGATTTTATTAATCCCTTGCATTAAGTCTAGACATTGAGACAAAGGGATATAGTTACACGGAGTCTGAGTCGTGGAAAGGTTTTGACGGTGCAAACGTCTTAACTTATAATCTAGGGGCAATAATGTGTTGCTAGATACCACTTATTGCTTATAGGATTGGTGCAGAGCCAATACTGTGGCCAGCTTTATAAGTGCCTATACGGGTCACACACTTTGAACAATTTAAGGAGTAGGATTAAACAATGGGATAATAAGTAATTTGTATATTTGTAAAATAGTAAAATAAAATATTTTGGAATATAATATTATATATATATGTAAAACATTCGGTGATATATTTATATATATAAATACCGAAATATATATATATATATATTATATGTTGAATATTTTATTTTGGTTTGTCATTTTAATTATGAAAATAATTAATTTGACATAAACTATTTAAAGTATATTTGTATACTTGTTTAAAAATGATATTGATATTTTTATTTGATTTAAAATTAATTTTATATTAATTTTTGGTGTCAAATAAAATACACTTTGAACATTTAAGTGGAGAAGAATTTAACAAATCCTTCTCAAATCAAATGTTCGGCCATGATGAGATTGTAAGGAACAAAATTTTCTTAAGTTGACATGTGATACTAATAAAGACAAATTGCCTTTTGACTTTGTTTTTAAGGATGTTTGAAATTTAGTGTATTATTGATTATTAATAATTCACAACATTAAAAAACATAAAAAGGGGTTTTGGGCTATGATTTTAGTGTGTGGTTTTTTCGGCCAAAGTTTGTAGTGAGAGAAATTTTATATTTGGTTCCATTAATATCATTTTGTGCATAGAAAATATTTATAATATTTTCTAAATATTATTAGAAATATACAAGATTATTATTATCCCAATTTTAATCTTTATATTTTATACTACTATAATCTTTACTAGCATAAAGATTGTGGTAGACTCCGGCGTTGTTCGTGTGTCAAAGTTGGAGACCGGACGCTTGAACGGTTACGTTTGCACTTTCAACACTCTTCCTACGACTTCTTCGTTTTTACCGCTTACGGAGAAAGGTACAAATTTCTTACTACTATAAGTTTTAGTACGTGATTCTGGGCAAGATAATCATGTTAGGATGTTAAAATTTTTATATTCTGCTGCCTATCCTTGCATGGTTACCTTTCAGTGGTATCGGAGCCAACATACAAAACTATAGTTTTACGTTTGACTTTTAAAATTTTAAAAGTCAAAGTTTTAACTTGGTAATTTTTAAAATTCAAAAATTGGTAAAATGATTTTATTTAGTCTTGGAATAAGTATTGGACTTAAATAAATCATTGAAAATGAATTTTAAATTTATTTATTTTATTTCTACGCGTAGTATATATATAAATATATATATTTTGATTTTTCGAAATATATATTTATATATATTGTAGAAATAGTAAATATAATTTTACTTGGACATAAAATATCATTTTATGATTGATAAAATTATATTGTAATTTTTGAATGGATTATTTCCTATTTTGAATTTATTGTATTTATTTAGGTGAAAAAACCGAAAATAAATATGGAAAATTCAAAATGAACTTTATTAAAATTGGAAATATTATTTCTAAGTTGAATAAGGTTGTTGATAAATATATTGTTCAAAATAATATTAGTTAGTAATTAAATAAATATATATTTATATATGTACTCGGTTTTATTACCGAAATATTATATATATTTATATATTTGTATTTTAATTACATAAATGACTAATATATATTTTGGAAATAATGATTTATAAATTTTGTAAAGTTTATTTCCAGGTTTATAAATGTTAAAAATAACTACTGGAAGTTGAAATTTAATTTTCATGATTTTTGCAAAATTGTTTCAAAATTTTAATGGCCTTTTGAATATAATTCTGCAAAAAGGGCATTTTGGTCATTTGGAATATTCTGGATATTTTGTTATACTGACAGAATATCTAGAGTATATAAAATGATTTTATAAAATTTTATTAGATTTATTTGGACATCTAATTTAATTTTATGAGTTTTAGAAAATATTTACTCCCGTAGTATTTTTCTAGAATTGTCTGGGGTGAGCGCGGTTCACCCGGTGTATGTATATCTCTATTGCTTGTGTGGATGTATGATATGCATGGTGGATGATTGTGGCTATAGTTTATTTGATTATAATACGGCCTGTGTGTCGTGCCTTATCTCACAAACTCTTGTTGTAAATCTATTTCTCTCTCTTACCTCAACCGAGGATTCTTTTCTCACATGGTGGTTTGAAGACGAAAACACTTGTAGACCGTTTGAAGAAATCTAAAAGAATGGAGATAGCCCGAAGTCCAAGTGCCCAGAAGCCAGTGGGAGCTATCGTTTTATTTTTCTTTTAGGGGCCACAATCATTACACGTTTATTTACTGCGTTTTATGAATGCATGTTAAATGTATGTTGAACGCTAGTAATGGACATGTGCGCGGCCATGTCGATAGGTGAGATCGAAATTATAAATCCCTCACAAATATTAAGTCTGTTGCCTTCTGACGCCCGGCACCTATCCGGCTAATGTACACTGTCATGTACTCAGCCTCAGCAGAGCATAGTAGAGTGTATGTTAAGCTGGTTACAAGAACCGCCATAGCGTGGTCGCTGTCGCACGTTGGGTTAGACTTAACTGAGTCTCGGTCAAATGGATGGACGACTCAGAGGCAGTTAGTTGGGGTCATCAATGACAAGTCGGATGATTTTACTCACTCATCCAGCCAGGAGTTGGATCTTTATGATTTAATTGGAACTCTGTTCCTAACCAAAGTAGTCTGCTTGTAAGACATGCCTCAGCCAATTACAAGTATGGTGAAAAGGTGTCCTTTTCCGGTTGTAGTAATATTGTTCGCCCAACACCAGACCAAGAGCTGAGAGCCCGGCTCATTAGTTGGAACTATGTTCCTACCTAAATAGTTGTCTTGTGGAGTAACGCCCAAGCGGAACGCAAGATAATGAAATATGGATCTTGGCCCACTAGAGGTTTCGCCGGAAATCTCCGAATCAATATCGAGGGTTATTGATTTGTTAAAAATAGTGGGAGATAATTAATTAAAGTCCTAATTAATTATTAAACATGATAGATAACCTAGTTTGCAAAATTTCCTGTAGATGGCAAATAACAACAACCCTTTCAACCTGCGTTACATCCCGGAAAATAACAAGTTATCCGGGACCAACTTTCTTGACTGGGAGATGAACCTCTGAATCGTTCTTAACTGTGAGAGGAAACTCTACATCCTCGAAACGGATCCTCCCAAGACCCCTGATGCTAATGCTCGTGCGTCCGAACTCACTTCCTTCAAGAAGTATGAGGACGACACGCGAGATGTAAAGTGTATCATTATGGCCAGTATGACCGCGGAGCTCCAAAGGCTCCACGCGGACATGGAAGTGCGTCCTATGATACAATGCTTAAGAGACCTTTACCACGGTCAACCTCAAAACTCAGGTATTTACGTTATCGAAGTCAATATGTCTGATATCACCTCTTGGGTGATGGATACTGGATGTGATTCTCACATCAGTACTTCTATGCAGAACTTGCATGAATGTAGACAATTGACGGAGGGAGAGATATAACTAAAAGTCGGCAATGGCACTCGTCTATGCATTGGCCATCGGAACCTATAGTTTATCTCTACCTAGTGGTGTAATATTGCATTTGAATAATTGTCTGTTAGTGTAATGCCCCAAAACATACCCTAAAATTTTTAATAAATAAATATTCAATTATTCAAATTTGTTTTCGATTAAAATAAATAGTTATTGGGATTTGGGCCGAAATGAAATGTGTTTTGACGTCCAATATCACAAATCAGGATAAGTCTCATAGAGATAAATCCCATATGTTGAGTGTAACGCCCCAAAACATACCTTAGAATTATTAATAGATAATTATTTAAATAAATCAAATTTGTTTTGATTAAAATAAATTTTTATGGGCTTTGGGCCGATAAAAATATGTTTTGATATCCCATATCATAATCAGGATAAATCTCATAGAGATAGATCCAATTTATTGACTATTTGTGTGGTCTTGATTGGGAACCTGAGTACAGACCCAAATCAAGAATAAATGAAGAAATTAATTATGATGTAAACATTAAAATGATTTATTTAAATAAATGATGAGAATAATTAATATGAGTTAAATATGAGAACCTTTTTGAATAAAGGTCAACTGAATCAATTTTTACTCTATCAAAGTCAACCACCCAAAAATATGATGTCGGAAATAGTATTACAAATAATTATGAAAAGTATATCGTTGAATAGAATTCGACTGTCTGATCGCAACGGTGCGAACGGATTTCAATTTGGAGAAAGTTGGATCAAAAAGTGTACCCCGACT